ACTAATTCCACGGGATACCTGCCACCTCCCACCAGCAACAGGTACCAGGTAACTCTATCCACCAAGGCTTGGATAGATGGGAAGAAATCACCTAGTATTTGCCTCCGCTGGGATTTAAACTTGAGACCTCATGGTTCTCACCCACTTCATTGACCACTAGGCCACACCCTTGGGTGCAATTAGTTGGTTATTTTACAACTTGCTCTTGAAGCTTTTTCATCTCATTCACTGATACATGGAATAATCTCAACTTTGCAATAGAGACCCACAGCTTGTGAAGCGGATTGGGGTTGCGACTGCTCTTGAAGTCAGAGCTACAGGAATCACTTATACTTTTGCACCTTGCATCGCAGTGAGTACCATAACATCATATGTAGCCTGTACGGTATTGTCTTTATTTAATAACTTTCATCACAAGTCTGGGTGTTTATCTTTGCTTGATACCTGTTATCATAGGTGTGTAGAGATCCAAGATGGGGCCGGTGCTTCGAAAGCTACAGCGAAGATCATAGAATTGTTCAAGCAATGACTGAGATCATTCCTGGTTTACAAGGAGATATTCCAGCTAACTCCCGTAAGGGTGTTCCTTTTGTTGCAGGAAAGTACGAATCTCTAGTCTTTGATAGTCTTTTTCCTTTTTGACCCTTGTAAAGATATGGCACTTGGACCTAACTCAACCCCAAAAGCTAGCTCATGAGGGGAGGATTGCCCAAGTGCATATAAGGAGACCATCAGTCCCCAACCAATGTGGGACTCTTACCCACTCTAACACCCCCTCGCACGCCCAGACCATCAACTGAAGCGTGGACGATATAACATAGGGGACAAACGGGAATGGACCTGGCTCTGATACCATGTAAAATATAGAGTAAATGGAGGAATCTTCTTTTTTATTATTGCAAGAAGTAATAAGTATATATACAAGTACATAGAACCCTAACTATAGAAAGAATAAAAAAGGAGATCTTATAAATTTGCTATGAATCCCTATAATTCTGCTAGCTATGTACATTACATAAAAGTATGTCTACATTCATTTTGTAGTATGTCTACATTCATTCTGTAACATTCCTCTCAAGCTGGAGCATAGATATTGATCATGTCCAGCTTGTTATGAAGGTAATCAACTCGAATTCCATTCAACGCCTTTGTGAATAAATCAGCTGGTTGCGCTCTTGCCTTCACATAGCCAGTGAATATCAAGTTCTCCTGAATCTATAACAGTCAACCTCAATATGCTTAGTTCTTTCATGATATACGGGATTTGATGCAATATGGAGGGCAGCTTGATTGTCACACCAGAGTTTTGCTGGTATTGGATGCTCCAACCAAATTTCAGTCAAAAGATGATGTATCCACATAATCTCACACGTAGACTGAGACATAGCTCTGTACTTAGATTCAGCAGTGGATCGAGATACAACACTTTGCCTCTTACTTCTCCACAATAGTTCCCTCCAATAAAGACAAAATAGCCTGCAGTAGATCTTCTGTCAATTTTGGATCCAACCCAATGAACCAGAGAAGAAGTAAGAATCAAACAGAATAGAGTTCCAACTGATATAATTGAAAAGTTCCACCAAGAATTTGCTCAACTAGAACACTCAAAGTATCAAAATAATGGAAGAGGAACCAATAAAATTCCACTAAGAAGATACCCCAACAAATATCCAAAAGATCAAGTAACAGAATCACCTCCAACCCAATCACCAAAATGATCTTCAGTTGAATAAAGCTCAACAAGCCAAAGATTCACAGAGGAGAATTTTACCAAGAATATGGAGTCCTTAGATAGTAGTCTGATACCAAATCAGCAAATGGAAAGTCAAAAAAAAGATGATTTTGACCAAAGAGAACAAAATTGACAAAACCTGGAATGCTTTGAAATCTACCCAGCCGAAATCTGATGAACAAGAAACCACAAAATTCTGATCGAAAATATCGAGCCAACATCAGAAATGAAACCCCGAACTGATCCCCTCGTACCAAACCTGGTCTATGACTTCCGGCGAACTTTCTAAAGCAACACCGGCGAATCAAATGTATCTGCTCTGAATCATCAAAAGGATCACCATCATCTTTCATAAGATGCACATCAGGAACCATTGGAGTACTGCAGGATAAGGATATATTAAGGATAAAATGAGAAAAGATCGCTTAACATGGTCATGTCTTGCGTCGACCTCCAGATATCCCCGTCCGTAGATGTGAAACCATCATGAGTGAAGGTTTTAAAAGGAGACGATGTAGTCCTTAAATCACATGGAAGGAAATTATCTCGAAAGATCTAAAATCTCTTGAAATTAATGCAGACATACCGAAAGGTAGCGCACAATGGAAGAAAAAGATTTATATTGGCGACACCAGTCAGTTGGAAATTTATTTTAGTCATGCTAATTCATTTACTTTAGGCCTATGCTTTTTAGGAGTCTTTTAGCTATGCTTTTTAGGAGTCTTTTAGCCCTATTATGGATTCTTTGCCAATAGGAAATACAGGGAACTTTTAGTGCATTTCATTTTTGTATTTTATACTTTGTATAATGTTGGCTTGTGATGAATTTAAACGGAGAAATGATTGGTGAGAATTCATATAACTGACCCAACTTGTTTGGGACTGTGGCGTAATTGTATATACAAGTGTTCAAGTTTCAAGCAGAATAGCAGTAAGCTGTGCATAATACCATTGAAGATGTCTAGTATAAATTGCTTTGGAATAGTTGAGAAAAGTTCTTTTTAGTGACTTGTGCTCATTTTTGCAAATGTGCTTTAGGACTAAAGTAGCAGCCTGTGCTAAGCACTTTGTGGGCGATGGTGGCACTGTCAAGGGCATTGATGAAAATAACACTGTCATCAGTGCAAATGAGCTACTTAGCATCCACATGCCAGCCTATGTTGATTCCATTATAAAGGGTGTGTCAACAGTAATGATATCTTACTCAAGCTGGAATGGTATGAAGATGCATGCTAATCGTGATCTGATCACTGGTTTTCTCAAGGGAAAGCTCAAGTTCAGAGTAAAAAAGCAGCCCTCTTCTAAGTTATTGGTCTAACTATAGTGAGGAGATTGCTGATCGTCATATCTTATGCTGGTCTTTATTTCAGGGTTTTGTCATTTCAGATTGGAACGGTATTGACAAGATTACTGATCCACCCCATGCGAATTACTCTTACTCTATTCAGGCTGGAGTTCTCGCTGGAATTGACATGGTCAGTCTAAAGGATTAATACCAAAGTTCTGTTATAGAATATGTAATTACTCGTTATTTCCCTCTAAATTGTCACCTGACACCTTTAGCTCACCATTAGTCAACTCAAGTTGTAATCACTTTTCACTTTTCTAATGTATTTAGTAATTGATTGTCGCAGATTATGGGTCCAGAGAACGTGACTGAATTTCTTGATGATCTGGCTTTCCAAGTCAGGAACAATATCATTCCCATGAGCAGGATAGACGATGCAGTTAAGAGGATATTAAGGGTTAAATTTGTCATGGGTCTCTTTGAGAACCCATTGGCTGATCTCAGCTTAGCGAACCAATTAGGAAGCCAGGTAATTTATCATGACAGCCTTCCCCAAGAGGATGTGAGACAACCTCTGTCAAAATGACAAGTTTCCTTTCTGGAATGTGAATTTTCTTCACCTGGATCTATCTACCTTGACTTAGTTCCTTTTTTTATCAACTTAAATTCTCTGTGTAGGAACACAGAGAATTAGCAAGAGAAGCAGTGAGGAAATCACTTGTACTATTGAAGAATGGGAAAGTTATTAGCCAACCACTAATTCCCCTTCCAAAAAAAGTGGCGAAGATACTTGTGGCTGGTAGTCATGCTGACAATTTGGGTTACCAGTGCGGAGGCTGGACTAGGAGTTGGCAGGGAATTGGAGGCAACGATCTTACCACAGGTATCTCTATGTTATCTTGCAATTAGAAGTCTTCTCAGTTCTTTAAAAAAATTCTTTCATCTGGCACTTCTATTCAGTACAAATAAAACTCAAACGTTTACTCTGAGCTATTAGTAGTGCACATTATATTTGTTTCGACGTCTTAGAATTCTGTTAAAGAACAACTTTGCCTCTAATTTAGATGGCTGGTTGATTAGAGCAGAGATCCAGAAAGAATCTTAGCGCTAGTTGTTGTAGTGGAGTTAGTTAAAAATACGTTTGTTATTAGTTAAAAATGGTGAGTGCAATAGTTCGTCTAAGGGTGACGTCAAGAGTAATATAACATAGTCTTATCTTTTACTTTATTCTTAGACATGTAAAGCTTTTTCTTCAGCGAAGTTTAATGTGACTCGGGATGGAGTAAAATGGGAAGGTGAATTGAATAGGTTTGCCTGGCCACCTCTACAAACTTTAGACCAAATATTTCTACTTTTCAGACGAATTGCAAGTAATGCACTGTTTGAAGAATGATCTAAACCCTTTTTCCTCTCATGTTAATAAAGTTACTCATAAAGATTAATGTCATTTCATTGTCAAAATCTGTGAATGGGAATTATTAGTTCTTGTGGCATCAGACTGAACAAGCTCTCATATATTTGGACACAAACAGGAACTACAATTTTAACTGCTGTGAAAAACACAGTCCATCCATCTACACAAGTGGTCTACCGGGACAATCCAGATGTAAACTTTGTAACGTCCAACCACTTCTCCTATGCCATTGTTGTCGTAGGTGAAACACCCTACGCAGAGACGTTTGGCGATGGTGCAAATCTTACAATACCTGAACCTGGTCTCAGTACCATCACTAATGTCTGCAGAGTCGTGAAATGTGTCGTAGTTGTCATCTCCGGGCGTCCAGTCGTGGTTGAGCCTTATCTTGCAAATATAGACGCCCTCGTGGCTGCATGGCTTCCGGGAAGTGAAGGACAAGGTGTTGCTGATATTCTGTTTGGTGACTATGGATTCACAGGCAAACTTGCCCGCACTTGGTTCAAGTCGGTTGACCAGCTTCCCATGAATGTTGGTGATCCACATTACGATCCTTTGTTTCCTTTCGGATTTGGTCTCACAACTGAGCCTGTCAAGAGCTAAATCTCCTCTGTCGGTCTCCCACTTGCTGTTCAATCGTAATCTAGAGCTTTATTTATGCCTTGTATCGAACAATTTTAGTTTTCCCTTAAAGAATAGAATAAGGGAAACAGAGAAAAACAAAGACTATCTTGTACAATAACAAAAGGTGAAAAAATATTATGAATGAGAGAAGAGTATATCTTACACTGTTAGTGTAAACAATAATGTTTAGGAGGAAAAGGAAGTAAGAGTCAAGGAAAAGCACCATTGTATTCAATGTGGTGAAATGGAGGAAGGACTCCCGCCAGTTCATATTATCTGTTTGTTAAGATTTTTGTACATACTTTAGGAAAGACATCTAATAGCTTTAAACATAAAAATATTTGTCTAAATTGTCATTTATCTCTCCTTAAACATCTCATTTAATTAAAACAGCAAGGATCGATTTAGAAGAAAAAAGTAATAAATGACTTGTTTATTTAAAATGACAAATACTTTAAAACAAATTCAATTTATTAAAATGACAAATATTTGGAATCGGAAGTAACATAAAATAGGTTCAACTCTCTTCTAATTTGGTGTTGGTGCAATCTCAGAATCCACTCTAACTAGTTTTCATTGTATTTTTTTTTTAAACATAATGTCTATTTAAATTTCAAATTAGATACTAATACAATAGATTTTTAGTTTCATTTGCAAATAAGTAAAGTGTGGCATTCAATAGTTTGACAGTACTATGTAATACCACTTACTATTAATCATTTGGTCTTATTGACTTTTCAAGTCCCAAACTGTATAATCTAACACCTCCACTAATGAATCTTCTCTGATTTGGCAATTCTTATCTGTTCTACTTAAGACAAAAATGAGGAATAAAATTAGATAATTTACCAAAATTCATTTCAAATTCTAAAAAGAGTAAGATGGCAATTACTATGTTTCTCTTAAAAAAATCAATCAGTATATGTTAGTAACCCAAGGTGAAATCACTGAAATCCATATGCTTGATACCACAACTTTATCTGTCTTCCACGTCTTTTTTTTAGTTATTTTGTTTATAAAATCTGAAGTGGAGCCTTAGAGCAACGGTAAAGTTATTTTCGTGTAACCTATAGCAATGGTAAGCTATCTCCGGGTGACCTATAGGTTATCTGCATCACCCCTGATCCTTCCCTGAATCCAGCGTGAATGCGGGATGCGTGAACCGTACTGTCCTTTTTTTATTTATTAGATCTATTTTGTTAATAAATTTCTACAATAGTGGATTTGTGAAATGATAATTATGCATACTCATTAGTTTGTATCTAATTTTAAGATCCTAATTTGAAAAATTAGGATACATGGTTCCCTCAAGCCTTAATCCAAATATGGATCAATTTTTAAGAGGTTAAACTTTATTTAGTTGTTGACTATTCTAGTTTAGGTTACGAATGGTTCGACTGCTTGATTTGTAAAGAATATTCAATGTACAATATATGTATTGAATTATTAAATGAGGTGTCTTAGTTAAGAAATTATTTGATTTGAATAAAAATTTTAATAAAGATAATTGTAACTTATCCTTTTAATCCATGGTTACCAAATTGCAAAGATGATGTTGTTATCCAATCCACAACATTCTTTTGGTCAAAAAAATATTAATAATACAATTTCAGTAATTTAAATTACCAATTGATGAAAATCAAATCCATTAATACCCTATACCAAAACATTCTTAAACATGTCAAATAGGCCTTGTTTGTCAATTTTCCAATTCTTGGGAGCTCTGTTGCTTTTTTTGAAATTTAAAGGCCTTATTTGCAATTTTCCTATCACATGATTGTTTTTCCAAAAATAGCCGCGTACCACATGGGCCCAAATGGAATCTCCTAAAACAGAACTCCGTATCAGAACATGTTAACTCGGAAAACGTTAACCGAAATGTCCACTTTAGTACAAACAAATTTCTATTCAAAGTCCTTCTTTTGGAGAAAAAATAAGTAAGTGTACAACTTTAGAAGTCCTTCTCTTCTTAATC